CAGGAGTGCCGACGTCCACCCCACGGCAGTATCATATATTGTGCCCCTGGGTTAACCCTGCGCCACTTGTCATACGAATGCCAGGTAGAACGGCGGTCTCGCCGATGTTTGGCGTGAGCGCGACCGAGCCATCCGGGGCCGGCGGAAGGGCGGCAGCGATCATCATGAGGGGTGGGCCCACGCTCCACAGGCTTTCCGGGCGGATGTCGCCCGCACACATCGGATGCAGCTGCAGTCGACTCCCACAGGGTTCTAGAGCGTCAGATAGGCAAGAAGATGGCGCCCGACTGCCGTCCGGTGTGAACACGGCGGACCGTCCGCGCAGGCAGCGGTCGTGCGGGATGGCGGGGATTAATCCATACGAGTAGCTCATTGAACGGTGAAATACCAGGCATAGAGTTTAAGAGTTATTGACATATGGTTTTATCTCTTATAAGGCTCCAAAATCGGTTTTAACTTTAATTTTTGTCTCCACGATATTACACAGCGACCTCCTCGCCCCATGCGTTGCGATGACTCCGCCAGAGCGAGGCTGTTTTTTTTGCATTTACCAGTATGACGGTCGCCATTACGTACCAGCAAGCGGACCACTCCATTCACCTGTCCTATCTATTCTGCATATCAATGATGAACAACGTCTTGTTGAAGCAGACATGATAGACCACCAACAAACTGGGTGCAAATGATCAAGAACATGGAACAAACTAGTTTAATTACGTGCCTTGTGGTATCGCAATCTGTCTCATGAGCAAAATCTATGGATATGAAACAGAAAATGACCAAATCTAGTTACAAATCATGTTTGAAAGCAGGTAAAGCTAGCAAGTAGGGGCCGCACCGGAGTTGCCCCTCAAATTGCTGGCTGTTTTATAGCAGACTTCTTTCTGCTACTCCGAATAAAAAGTTAACATATTTCGCATGGTTTGCTGACAGACAGGGTCATCCAACCCACCCACGAAATATACATACCAATCATGCCCACCAACGTGCAAGATTAAAATGTGAAATGAATAAAAAGAGCTCTGCATGAGAAAACAACTCTGAAGGGCAGAGTTTCGCTACCAAACATCTCTGTATTAGCCGCGTCATGTCTGTTCGAAAGCTATGTACGGCAGGAAATTTATCGTGGTGAAATAATGAAGCTTGAGTGGGTTATATTCATCAAGACCGAGCCGTGTCATGAACCAAAAAACGGATAGATTGGAATTTAACAAGACAAAAATGGTGACCAACATAATTTTCTTGCTTCATCATTCCTGGGTGCACGTAAAACATGTTTGGAGGCTGGCATGTTAATCTAATACACATATGAAACATGTATATGTTTTCAGTTGGAAATGTTGCAGAGAAATTGCTTAACATTTTAGGCCATCAATGGTTTTTCAAAATTTATGAAAAGGAAGAAAAGACAACGTTGTTTCACATCTGTATGAGGCCACGAAAAACAAGAGTGATGAAAAAACACAAGAACTTAGAGTGCTTTGTAAATTGTTTTAATAAACTTATTTGACGAAAAATTTGTGAAAATGAGTGCTCAAATTGCAGCATCCAGCTTTTAAATTTTATTTCAACGGCATTTCTTGAAATTTTCCCTCCTACATTCCGGAAGTGGTGCAATTTAGTGGTCAAGTTTCTTCGCGAAAAAGAAATACGTGAAGTAAAATGCTCTACCAGGCTTTGCTGGTGTTTGTACCAGGCTTTGCTTCGCTGCCATGGTATCTGCGTGGTGTAGCTCAAAAATTGGAGATGCGTAACAATTTTGCATTTGGCACCCAGCTGTAGATTGTGGTGTATTTTGTAAACAAGCCAGGATTGATAGAGGCGAGCGGATGGAGTCGCTAGGGCTCTCGGGCTTCAAGGAACTTAGTGCTCTTGCTATGTGCATGTAAAGACGTGATTCATATGCGGGTGAGGCAGGATATGACACGAAATATCCAGGTCCCGTGGGGTCTCGTTGGTGCTTGGTGGTTTCAAGTAAGTTCGCTGTTGATTGGCGCCTCAAAACCTCTGGAAGTGTTTTTTATTTTTCTTAAGGGGTTATATGTGTTTAGTACATGTGGTTGGACAACAGCAGGTAAGAGTGAAAACTTACCATTAGATATTGCGAAAAGGAGCGAAAATGCCTACTCATAGGATGTTGCTTTACACCCAAAGTCGACAGTTCTACGAAACTGATTGTTTTACATTGCCAAGAGGCTGTATAGGTTCGCAGATAATGGCTGGAGGACCGATTTTCAGCTGACCGATCCAAACGAGCGGCACCACTCTGGCTCTGCCAGCATCCGGCTTTCGACCTGTATCTGATCCATATCATCTGTTACACAGCCGTGGGTTCTTACGATACCTTTACTTTATTGTGTCAATGCTTCGATAATTACTGCATCCAGGTCACACAAGCGGTATTTTGCAGTTCATTCCCACATAGCATGTGTAAAGTGACGAATTCTCACCGCACCTACCAACACTTCTGAGACGTCCTGTACTTACAAACAGACGGATGGCAACTACTTTGGCGACGTTCCAACGATCGCCCTTTTGGAGTGGGGGAATGCCTGTGTGGAGGACGAGACTGTTGTACGTACGCAGTACTGTACGCAGAATGATCGCAGTGGGAAAATTCGCGTGCGTTGCTACTGTTAAGTCCACCTTTACCTGCGCTTCAAACGGGAAAAGGGGTCAGTGGGGTCCAGATATCCACCATGAGGGTCAGTGATGCCTGCCTGCCGCCTACGGTTCAGAGCTGTTGATTGCAGACTCTTACCCCACCCTCTCAACTGCGGACTCTAACCTGACGGTCTCAACTGCGGACTCTCACCCGACGCTGTCAGCTGCGGACTCTCACCCGACGCTCTCAACTGCAAACTAACCTGACGGTCTCAACTGCGGACTCTCACCCGACGCTGTCAGCTACAGACTCTCACCCGACGCTCTCAATTGCAGACTCTCACCACCCCTAAGTACTGGTGTGTGGACCTCATTGACCCCAGTGGCCGCCGGTGGTTCCATGCTCTCGATTGCGGACTGTCGCCGCTCATTTTCTTCTGGTCGACTGGTTTTGATTCTTCCTAAATTTTGCGGATCTACGTTGTTTCCTCTCGGAACCTCTGAATATTGAGCGGGACGTGAGTTCTGCTAGGTCTATGCCTGAGCTGGAACTCTCGAAAGCAAAGCTGTTGACCTCTGGTCACCAAGCTCATCTGTAGAAACCATTTCACTCGTGTTTTTGTCTTATTGTGAACGATATTCTGACTTTGGGTCCATGAGCTTTGTTAGAATGGGCTCTCAAACTTAAAGAATGACACTTGAGGAAGAGATAGTACTTGTTACAAGTGACAGCGCGAGGTACATTCCTCATTGTAACACCCTTTTCGAGAAACCCTGTATTTTTGACCAAAGCAACGATCTTAGATTGCACTAAAGCTTCAAGAAATTGCTATGCATCCTCATGATGTATTTCAAAAGAAAAAAGTGACTACAGGAATACACAACGTTAGCCATTTCAAAGCAAAAAAGCTGTTTTTAGACAATATTTTGCAGTTTAGAGACGAAACAAAATGAGCTGGTTGAAACCAGGGATGCCAATTTTTGAATATTATAAGGGGCTGAACCGAAGGCCCGACACCCTATCCCCTCTACCCATTTTCTTCTCACCGGATTGAACCTACTTTATTTTGATTAGAGCGATATATCACTTAATCTTTGGATAACCTATAAAAGTCTTCAATTTAAACAGCATAAAAGTCATGCAGGGTTGAATCTAAGTAGGAGGCACTGGACGCACGCGTCTCTTCTGATCGGCAAGTAAAGACACCCCTTGAAAAGCCACCTAAGGGCGCCGATGGCATTCTTCTATGGCGATCATGGAAGGCGGCACCCATTTTGGTCGTGGGGGACGGAGACGGGGTTAGCCATGAAAGACTTGGGTCATCCCCGCATTCCAGAGCTTTTCACTTTAACCTCACACACCACTGCGCGTCTTATGGCGCCAGGTATGTGCAGTTTATTGCATCGTTTATCCGCCCAGCTGTTACGATTTGTATCTTGTGGTGAGAGCAGCCATGACTTTTTGTTATGAAAGTGGTACGAGGCACCACTACGCAGAAAGATCAATGAGGATAGTCTTTGCGTTGTGATAATCTTTTACCCTCGTTTTTGTAGTATCCCAGCCAAAAACATTGGGGGAGGGGGCAGGCCAACATTGGGGAGAGGGCCAACTCAACATTGGGAGGGCCAGAGCTCTCACAAAAGAATGCAAATCGACACCGGTGGTTAAAATGACAAAAATTGCAGTTTTGTTTACGTGCTTACGGCCTCCGTGGTGAAGATGGAGTTATATTTTTGGTTGGGGGATGGTGATGTTGCCATTTCTGTCATTTGCAATTTATAGCCTTCGATCCTGAGTTGTTTGTGATTTCCATAAGAACTGAAATTGTAACTCATTTGGTCCGAGATTGTGAGTGAAATGCTTGCGTTGATCGTAAAATGAAAGCTTCGCACTTGAAACTCAAATGTACCAACTTGAGATTCACTGCAAATAAGTACCATGTTCTCATCACTCGTGCCGCGCGGTCCTTGGCGTTGGGTTACTGCTCAGTGAAGCCGATTTCGTCATAAGCGTATGACAATAGTATGGTTAGCAGGTGCCGTCCTGCCTACATTACTGAACTATTGTAAGGTGGCAACAAAGCCTTTCAACGATGCACAACATAAACATCACATTTTGTTGCTGGGGTCACAAAGAACAAAGTAGCATTCTGTCAACGACCACTCAAAGCCACCACGACAGCCATGGATTGCATGCAGTGGGCTCCCCAGCTGCGAGGCCGGAGAGAGCGGTCGGTGCGGTGAGCCGACGCGCCCGGCTCGGCACCGGCAGCAGGCTGGGCGCCCCCTCCAGGCGCCCCTCCCTCCCCCCACCATCCCAGCCCAAGCCGGACCTCGCCGTCCGCTGGACGCGTATAAGAGGCGGCGCTGCGACGTCGCGGCAACACACACGGCCCGCCATGTCGCCCGTGCCCGCCTCCCGCCTGCTGCTGCTGGCTGCCGCGGTGCTGGCCACCGCCGCAGCCGCCGCCGCCGCCAGCTCGGCCAAGCCCGGTGAGAGGTTGACCTGAGGTCTGGCCGGGTTTGGTAAGGTCTGGCCGGGTCTTGCTGTGGTCTGGTCGGGTCTGGTGCGGGTCACTGACCTCTCGTACCTGATGGACTGGCGACGCGGGGCCGATCCGCTCTCATTGCGAGGGACTATAGAGGAGACGAGGAAGCGTGCGCAGCATACGGAAGGCAATCAGCGATTGCCTCATTAGTACAGACTGCCTGTGGTTTTGTGTCGAGCTACTGCGCAGTGTTGTCGCCAACGGCCCGTACCAATCCATGTGTTTGTAAACATAGACGTAGAAACAGGGACAGCGTCAATGAGACCACTCCCTGCTTTTCACGTTGGTTTTGCTCATCACATAGTGATGCGTGAGAAGTGTTCCCAAGACTAGAGTTGCCTTTCCGGCAGTTTTTGGGACGTTCTATGCCTGGGTTATGGCTACCAGCGACTGAGGTGGTTGACATCTCAAGTCCCGGTTTTTAGTCTCGTGAGTCTGTTCTGCCTCGACGCCTTGGTCCTCGAGCTGCTTTCCATACTTGTCTGACAGTCTACGTCTCTTTCCTACGTCCTACGTCCTGCCCACACGTCCTAATCAGTCATTCCACGAGGCCTTTGATTCGTCATCTCAGAGCAGCACAAGGGGCAGTGGTGTGACCCAATGACGTAACGCCAGCCTCGGCGGCGATGGCGCTCCGCTGGCCGACGAGTGACCCCGGGTCGGCGCCGCCCACAGCCCGCCTGGTGCGAGGTCAGGAGGAGTGGCCCGAGAGCGTTGGCTGTCCCACCGGCTACGTGCCTGACCTGCGGCCTAAAGCGCTCAAGCAAAAGCGGCCAGGTCACGTGGTGTGCGCCAAGGGCAACATCCAGAACTGTGTGATCGGCACCCACTGGTACGTGCTGGACCGACGCTTCTGCTTCAAGTGCACCTGCGTCAACGGCAAGGCCGACTGTCTGGATCACGAATGCCCGCCACCCAAACCTGTCTGGCGTAAGTGCTCCTAACGGGTGCGGCCCGGTGTTGACGCACCGCTGTTCTAGGTGATGGGCAATGAGTCTGATGACCAGGGAATATCACCTATCACTTCAGAAATGTCACCAGGACATTGCGAACGACGCCTGCCATTGCAAATGACGCTTGTCAGTTCATTGTTAAGCATTGCTGCTACATAAAGGCTAAGTAACGCATCGTGTCGCTGAACAACCTCTCTGGTTGTGCTCCACATGAACTACTTCCACCCACGCTTCACTGCGCCATGCATTTACAGCCATCTCGGCTGAGTCGTTTATGCTGGCCTTCGTGCCCGGCTGCCCGAGGCAGCACATGTTCTTCCGCTCAGGGCAGCGGGCGGCCGGTTCTGACTCGCTTGGGTCCGTTGCAGCCACGCGCCAACGCTACCAGTGCAGGAGAGGGGCCGAGAAGGTGTGCCCCAGCCGTGACTGCAAGTTTCTTTCCCGTGACCATCGCTGCGTCTTCTGCGACTGCGGCGGCAGTGGCCGCTAAGCCGCCGGCCGGGCGCCTGACCCAGCCAGCGGCGCAGCGGACCGCTTCGCACAACTCTACAGACTGTGAAGGCGGCATTTGTCGGAGTTTTGAGAATTCCTGCTGGCCCAGGAATATTCTGTCATTGAACTTCATGCTTTTCGAGTACGGCTGGCGGCAAACAAGAGGGCGCTGGCAGCGGCTCAGTACAAAAGACGTGGCTCGGCATCACCCGTGAGCTCTGGCAGTAAAACGGTGATGTCATTTGCCGATCAATTTGCTCGCACATCATATGTTTACCGCATTTATTCTGCTTGTTGATTCGTGGTTTCAATGTGAATACAGTGGAGATCGCCACCCAATACACATTTGCCTTGAATACGGCACTCGATTAAAGTTATCAGCTGAAGCTTTTAGCAACTGTGAAGCAACAAGTCCGAGGGTTTTTATCGATACAAGACCATGGCATGACCAGGTATTGCTGGCCATCGTGCCTCACTGCATGGCGAAGCAATGGATAAACGGCACGGTATGCTGAGCGATGAGCGAACGCTGCCACCGGCCTTTCAGGGGCTTGGCATCAGGTCATTGTACTATTTAGTAACCAGTCCAGCGGGTTTAGGCGACGGTTGAGTTGAGATATAAATCTGCTTGGGATCCACAAATGAATCACAACCGATCGTCCAGCTCGCTCCACGCTCTCTTTATACAGATATTTAATGCAGCTGGTACATCTACGGGAGCTGATGCAACAGAAATGCAATAATGCCGCGTCATGTTTGGTACTCGCACCCGCGGGTGTCGATAAGTGTCCTTTTGGATGCGCCACTGGCCCCGTAAAGTCAAATTTGTCCTGTCCCAACAATGGAATTGCCGCTCCCCCAACCTCTGGAGCCTTAGTGTGTACATGTAGGACATCTAAAATGAAAGCTCAAAATTATATAAGCTTCTAAAGGCTTTTACTAAACGTTTCGCAGCTGAAAGGCACAAGGGAAGTGAAAACTGCGACGTCAGTTTCAGTGAGAGCTGACGATGGTCATACTTTTAGAGTTCCGCTTTCGTACCATATCTGCTGGAGCGTTCTCTGTTTTTGCTACATTCTGTATGGTTTAATTGCACAGTTAATGTGTTTTTTACCTCTAGTCTATTTGTGTATTATGGCCTGAGTGTGACGGCATTATTCAGTGCCTTTCAAGTTCCATGGGCTACAACAAGCTGCGTTCGCGGTGATATTTTGCCACGACGTGTTGTCGGAGAGTTAAAATACACCGGTCGAATATTAGCACACAAAAACGTAACGAATTTCCAAGCCGCTATGTTCGGAAGAACTCTTGAAATGTGGCAACATCCACTTCCACGTGAATATTCAATGAAACCGTCACGGAAACCTGAAGATCGACACCACGCAACCAAACAGATAGCGTTAAGCGGCCGACAATGATTGGTGAAACAGCACTAAGCGTTGCACACATGGTTATCGCGAATGCTGCGTTGCAACCTGTAGCCCGCCTTGCGACTACCTGCCTGGGACTTCCCTGGCAGCTCCTAATAGTCGTGCACATCAGCTTATTAGCTTTAGGTATGTTGATGTGCACGGGAAAGTCATACACGTCCAACAGTGTTTAAAGGCGCATGATATCGACCTCGCCGCCCGATTTCGATATTCGAAATCTGGTCTCAAACATCGAGGCCCAACAAAAGCATAATGATGCCCGACGAGGGCTTCTCCCGCCGAGATAGGGTAAGACAATGCATTTGAGCAGGAGTGTAGTTTGCTTCTCAGCGGGGGGAGACTCTAGCTTCAAAACTTTGAGAGTAAAGTAGGTCAAATTTGAGACGGCCTGATTGTATGCATTTAAAGTGCAGGGTTGGCCATTTTCCCCATTCAACGCCCCCAAAACTGCGTTTTGGAACTGCATTCTTGTGATGGAAACTTCATGACCGTCACACGCGACGGTCTACGGTCGACGAATTCGCCACCGCAGCACCTCACCGCCCAGCTCACAACACCGCTCCGAGGGGAAAGGGTCTGAACCAAGAGACAGGTGGGTCAAAATCGCGCTAAGATGATCGGCAGCTTGCTCCAACCGCGCAGCGGCACCACAATTTTCAAGGATTTAGACCGTATTAATGGCAGATTGAGAGCTGAATCGGTTCTCGCACTGTATATTGCACAAACTAGGATGCGGAATGACATAAAGTTATATCTACAGAACTACAACTTCTGAATTAAGAACTGCTATGTTTCTAGCACATAGATCTGAACACAGTATTTTCGGAGAGCAAATCCATAAAATGAGGATACATTGCTCAAAATGCCAAAATACTAGAACGAATATAATTCAGACAATAACGAAAATAGGCATCGATCAAACTGATAATAAGCGTCTCCTTGTCTGTAAAAGGGAAGGGCCTTATAAGTATTCAATCTAGTAAATCGAAGAGGTGAAAAATAACAAGAGGCCATTCCATGTTGCCCCAGGGCGTCAGTCCTTTTACAGAATCAACGAGTGAAACAAATTACACGCGAAGTTTAGATTATGTGCTCCCTATCCTAGAAGCAAAAAAAAACAGCAAAAACGGATCGGTCAGGGTTTCACTTTTCATCAAACCGAGCGGCGTTGGTCGCTGCAGATAACACCAGGCGTCAAACACCGTGCGAGGATGACCGTAATGCAATATTCCTTCCGAATTTTTTTTTAATCAATTCACATCGTTCAAAATTTAGAATGGAACGTATATACCACCAGTAACACTTCAAGGTTGACCTCTCAACAGCTTGACGGTTACAGCAACACGCAAAATAGAGATATTCCGCTTACTTTTTCAGACCAATGGCCAGATTCCAGCAACATTTCGCGGCGCTGTAAATAATAATTCGATCCCATTGTCAAACTAAATATCGTGCGGGTGAAATAAGCCCCCAGACTGCTTTCTAAACGTACTTATTGATCTCCTTAAGTGCTCAATAGTATTTCCGTCAGATGGGCCATCGTTTTCGCCCATTCCTTGGCCACCGCCTGATGTTAGCCAGTGGGTACCATGAGACTGCAATGCCGGGCGTCGTTATTGTTTATCATTGTGACATACGAGCGGGAATGCTCACTATCCGATTTCATTTTTCCACTAATCAATTCTGACGTTTGCACATTCCAAGATGAAAGTGGCTTGACAATATCGGCATGCAACTTTGATCCCATTTTAATCTGAAGTCTACATTCGCGAAGTCTTCAACACCGATCATTGTAGAACCAACATAAATCCGGCGAAGCCACTGATTGCTCCTAGCCTAGGAAAAATCCACCGAATCAGTGTAAAATTAATAGCATCGGTGTTTTATTCTATGATGCAATTTAATGCCTTTCAACAACCCGAACTTTATTTTTTAGAAGCCCTATCTCGGACATCACAACTTAATGACATTGTGTAATGACATAATTTACACACACAAAAAAAGGTTCAAACGCAGCACTCGCGCGGCGGGCGCCGCACGAGTGCTGCGTTTGAACGTTTTTTTTTCGACCAATGATAGTAAACCTTCGAACGTGCGCTGTCAGTCTCATCAGGACTCCAGAGGTAACTGGGCTGGCTGAGCTCATCTGGGCGTGGCTGAGGTAACTGGGCATGGCTGAGCTAACTGGGTGAGCTCATCGAGCACCGGATATGTGTGCAGGAGCATAATCGCATGGTCACTGAAGATCCAGCGCAAGAAGTAACCCTGTTTCAATGAACCTGCATTGTGCATGGCATTGGCATGGCGGGGGTTTCGTTTATCGTACGTTCGAACTGAACTAGCAGAGGGTTGCTTTCCGTTCAGAGGCACAGGAGTTTTTAATAGTGTACCCCAAGAGTACAGCACACTCCCAATGCATGCTCATTGAAACGAACGGAGAAAAGGCACCCCCAAGTGAACACCTGCCTCAGCGTATTTGGGGAATGGATGGCCTCCATCTTCATAAATAATGCATGGAAGAGTACTAATGTTTTGTTTTACATTAACCGAAATGCATCTGTTTGCCGATGGCATTTTGGTACGTCAGGGACTTGCGTGTCAACGAGTTGCGATGACCACATATAGTATGTTATCTATAATACACCTGCATTATGTATATATATATATATATATATATATATATATATATATATATATATATGCTTAGTCTCTAGATACGTTGGCTGGCCTACAAATCAGTCATGTTCATTAAGGTGTCGGCTATGTGGGCGCTGCATGACCTGCAGCAGTCGATGCGCCCCAAAACCCCAAATAATAATCATCATCATCAAGGCATCAGTTGTCGAAACAGGGGTCGAAACAGGTCTTGTGAAAGGATTTTTTCCATGTGGGAGGATGAATAGTTTGTAACATCTGCAAGAATGTCTCGGTCTATTGTCTGGATCGTCAACTAACTTGTGAGTCCTTCTTTCAAATCGCATCTAACGAGCTCCTGCCGGGAAGAGAATCAGCCGGTGGTAGCCCCGACAACATCTGTCTCCATCAAGAAGACGTCCCCATACAGAGCAACAGCCGTCCAATGCTTTTCCAAAAACAAGTGCGCAAAGTAGTGTCAAGCATACCCGGTCTTTCAAACACGCCTCTTTAATGCCTTCTGAAATGCAGATGCATCAGAAACATTCTACGTGGGGCAACGTAGGATTTGAGGACAGCACTGGCAGATCAGTGCCAAAAGCATACGCTCAGATAACGATCCAGCCCATGTTACCAAGACAAAGTAGGGTAATCGCGGGAAGGTTCGAAAACGGCACAGATTATGCTATCTCAAAGTGATACAAAGGGACGTAATTTTGAAGAGATTAGCCGATAAATAAAAAACAACTATGGGGCAAAATGACATTCACACTCAACTTCTCCGCATGAGCATTAAGGCCCTTGCTACGTTGACATTTCACGATAATCGGTTCCACACTAAGAGGCTTACGTTTTTAGTTTACTTTGCCCGAGTATATGTGGTTTGGAAACTACACGGCGCTGCTTCTGAGCCCTCAGATTCGAGTTGGAGTCGAACATTTACAAGGCAGCCGTAGCCCACAGTCAAAGTGAGCTGGTTTTCATGTCAGGATTGCCGAGTGTTATGAGGCTCCTCGCGCCCGTTGCCCTCTAACAAATGTAATATACACATGTGCTTTACCATCTTTCATATTTTATATGGTCGATTTTGACGAACAATGGGTGAGTGAAGCCTGTCCTGGGACGTAATGGCAGAGTGGTCAGTGCATAGGACTAGCACGTGGGGATCCATGACCCTTGAGCGCTAGTATGGCCAATACAGTCGCTGACGCTCCATAAGCGGCGTGATGACGTGCTTCGCGTTCTCTAAGAAACCTTTACTTACACATTGGAATATGTGGAATGCATGTGGCACACCCGAGGACATATAACTCAATCTGTGACGGGCCAGATCCATAATTAAAAGGCTGTCTGGCCGAAGCCTAAAACTGACTTCTTTAGTTTCTCGAAGTTCTATGCCTTTTCTACCAGTTCGCTATGAAATACGCTCAATTGTTTGTTTCCAGCTAACATATGCTGTCGATGTATTGCAGTGTAGAACTCCAGGAGTGCTCCCCACAAAAATCTGGACACATTCTTTCAAATTTTAAATGCGCTCACTATTATGACATCTGCGCCATGCCACCATGTCAAGCATGTCAGTTACCGCCTGCCAAATATTCAAACAAACTAGACTTATGGCCATGGAATTATAATAGAATTATGGAGTTATACATCGCACATCTAGTGCATGTCTAGCTTACCTCTGGACTCTTCTTTTGCACTGAATTTCGTTCCACGCAGCATCCATTACCCGTTATGCGTATTTATTCTGACAGGTGTTCAAGTTTCACTCCTCGTAAAAATGTGTCGTAATGCTACCAGATTAGGAAAGTTTTCTTACCTGCACGCGAAATACCAAACTTACGCATCAGAACACTTGTACACATCAACAAAGGCCGCCGCGTACCCGCTTCCCCCATGGTGTCGTCTTTCAAGCTCGCACGAATTCGTCCAAAAGTAGCCACGATGCTGGGCACGGTGAGCAAATTTTATATCGCCACTTTTTAAGTCCAATGAAGTGCGGGTTCCTGACTTAGTTTCCACTGCCCTGGGTTGTGACTAGGGTGTGACTAAGTCCCGGTCTGACACAAATTTGAACCAGAATCATGGATCATGTAAATTAGATAAGCATAGGTATAGCAAACTCTCTGAAAGTGTGGAGTGGGTCACGGGCGTGCCGAAATGTTGGTTCGCCCAGGTGCCTTACCCCCCCCCCCCGCACTGGTAAAGGGTCGATGCGGCCCCCCCTCCCTAAGGTTTTCTGAGGATGCCTTTCCGGGATGTCGTGCAACCACGCCGGAAGCTTCGGTAGCCTGTGGGGCATCCATTCATGTGCGTGTTTTGGCACTAAACACGCGTCCCTAGCGTTTTTGGTGTGGGAGCAGAGACGGTTTCTTAACACGCGCCCGGGTGGCCGGCTAGATACCTTTCGCTCGGGTGGGGGTAAATTTGACCCACCCCCCCTGAGATCTCGGGAACTAAGAGCTAGAGACACAAAATTCACAGGGTGTGTTGACCTGTACGTGAACTCACTTAGACCAAAGCTTAAGGTTACTAGGCCATGACCTTCGGGTCAAATAAGGTCAACCAAGGTCAAATTCTAGACTGGTCTCCAAAGTGCTCCCAGAACCTAGATAGCTGTTTCTAAGCAAAAGGTCACATGTTCAACTAAGGTCAGCGAACTTGTTTGACCTTTTAAAGGTCGTGGTGACCAAAATCATACAAGGCTGCAGTGGGCTTTACATTTAAATAAGCGACAAAGACTACGCCAGGTGTTCCTAATAAATGCTCACCTGGATCAGTTCAGGTCAATGACCTATTCTGGCCACTAAGAGGTCCATGGAAGATGTATAATGCGGTTCCTGCCATCAATAAATGCAAAATAAGCACCAGAAAATGTCCCATACAGGAAGTCCTAGATTAATAAAGCAGGTTGGTTTTGACCTTGGTCTGACCTTTAAACCTGACCTTAGGTCAACGTTATTTGCTCATTCAATATTTGCGTCGCCCAAGAAAGCATATCATAGATGTGTGGCTTCGTCCAACATTCCGTTATTGCATCAGATTGAACGGTTCCCTAGAAATTGACTTCACTGAAACCATGGCCTGACTTTGACCTGCCATAGATCAGCGACCTTACCAGGTATATCTAAATTTTTGATGCCAAACGATCCGCTATTTAATTGTCTACAGCTACACAACATTTGGTCCACCTGCGCCGCGCTGTTCGAAAACCATTCTGGAAAAACCTTTGGTGGGGGCAATTTGAACCCCCCACCCCCAACCCCACCCGAGCGCGTGTTAAGAAACACTGCACGGTTACCTGCGGCCGGCCGGCCGGGGAAGGGGGAGGGGCAGCAATTGGACGCACGCGGCGGGACAACATTGTTGCATTGGCGAAGCCATGCGTTTTAAACATATGGTCAAAGCACGCAAAACTATTCATCACTGTTCTCATAATTGAACAAGCCACGTTGTTCAGGCTTTGTGCTGTCACGAGGCATGGTCTCGCATGCGTGACATAAAGCTGGAAAGGTGCGATTTCAAACATTCGTGACCCTGGACATGTCGGAAAGAAGCCCTCGATAGTAGATAACGGACCTTTCACAGGTCATGATGAGCCTGCATGTCATAATGGGCCCTCTTAAGACCAGAATGACCCCCCCCCTTAACGCCAGAATGGACCCTCTTCAAGCCAGAGTGGGCCCTCTATCGGCCAGAATTGCCCTGCCAGTCACTAATGCGCCATCTACAGGCCAGAGTGGGTCCTCTTCAGGCTCAGAATTGCTCTCTTTGGTCAGAAGGTACTCTAGCTAGCGCAAAATGAGTTCTCGGCAGGCCGGAGTGGATTTTTTTTTCCCAGCTTTCAAGTTGCGGGGGGAGGGGTGCGATCTGCGCCCGCCGTCTGCCCCTCCCCGGCTTCTGCGTCGCTGTTTGGGCGCCGTCCCCCTCCCCTGGACGTGGCGTACGTCCCGGGGCTAAAGGTACTGATGTCGGCGTTGTGTTGTTTAGTTTATGAAGCCTTGTCTCGCTCCGGTCCCGTTCCGTTTCACTTTTATGTCTGAATGACCCAGGTGCACCAGCCATGCCACTGTCGTGCTAGACACACACCTATTTTCTGAACCAATCCTGCGTGTAAAGCATTAGGTTCTGGGAGCGCGGGTAAAATTTCTCTACTTTGGCAGCTTTGCAGCACAGTTTTACCAGGAATGAAATTATCAAGCCTGTCGGAATAAATACGCACGAAACCTTTCCATATCTGTACAGGCGTACTGCACCCCGTGTTTGGCCTGGTGTCCGAAGCGCCCTCTGCTCGCAGTTGCACTGCTCCGGCGCATGGTCTCGAACACACAACCTCCAGTTCGCCTTTGGACTGTTCGCTCTCCGTGGCATCCATCCTTAAGCCTGCAACTGCGCCGACTCCGGTGGAGCAGCCGTGCAGACACCTGTCCAGACGCAGCTTCAATACGGGAGGGGACTGGGGGCGGCCATACCAGCTACCGGCCGCTCAGCTTAGCCAAGGAGGCTCTGGCAACACTTTCCCAAATAGCCCAGTTCAGTTGTCCATTGAATGACCGACACGGAACTGGATCCTTGATCACCTCACGAGGAAGAACCAGGTGGCTTTCGAGCTAGCGCGCTGCGAGGAAAGGAACGGGGGTCGCCAATTACGGCGGCTTGAGGACCACACGAAATACCGCTACCAGCTCAAAAAACATATGACTCAAAAAGTATCATGTACTGACAAGATTCTCTATGAAAAGTTACATGCGCTCTATACCATCGCTCACCCTGTTCAGTGCTATCGTGAACGAATGACTGGATTTAGGAGTTGCCTGTCGCACGGCGCTGAACAGAATGTATCACTTCGCAAGCTGTCTCGCTTGCACAGCCTGGCTGTACAAAGCACAAACAAAACGTGCACTTATATGATAAAAGCGACATAATACCACAAACATCACAAGACGCCCCTGGTTTTGGGATAAGGCAACCCTCTCAGATCAGAGAACCGCAGACGACCCGACAGCGTCCTCTGTGTTGCAGTCCTCTCCTTCGCCAGCCGCCCACTAAGTCTCCTGCTTCGGCTTCAGTCCGCGAATCGAGAGGTCGTACACCACCTCTTCCACCTTCTTCAGGTCGTACTTCAGCGCATCGAAGCGCCTGCGCAGTCCGTCGTTCTTGAGGTTGAGCAGGCGGAAGCCGGCGCTCAGTTCGCTCAGGAAGTTGGCCACTCGGAACGGCCGCAGATAGTCGCCTGCCGTCACGCTGTTAACCACAAACCGCGACTGCAACAAGCCCAGGCACCGCATCAGCTGTCGCCGGTCGATGGTGTGTGCGTGCCGGACGCAGAGCAATGTGTCAAGTTAAACCTCATTATACCCCAAAAGATACTTAGGTTTAATATTTCACTTTCAAAAAGACAATATTAAACCCGATCTTAGTCACATAAGGCCCAGAAACAGACAGAAAAGATCGCATGCTAAAACCTAAGTATCGGTGTTCTAAAGCCCAGCAAAGGAATAATTATTGTGATGGCCAATGAAAATATCTCAGATAGGACTGACTAGCCAGCGTCATACCGCCGTGGCGAAAAGTGCACCTTAACAGTTATATTGGTGGCTATTGCACAACAGGAGTCGTTCCATTGTGCATAGGCCAAGAAAAAGGCCACATGCCATATACCTACATTGTCCGCGGCCAATAAAATGTATTTGCTAAGGCAAACAGTGCATTTATCACCCTAAAACCCTGACTGATGTTACATAACGGTGAAGAAACTTGTCTATTAAGTCGTTGTCTTATTACTAGATTTGACCGCAGAACGGTAGTTCGAGACAAAACATACGCGTAAGCCTAGAACAGACAAAGAATAGATCAGAATAGCACCCAACAGACGTTTAAGAAAGCGTCATCACTGTCGGCGGGCGTCGATTCGCCACGCATAAAAGGCATCTTAAAGGCATCCGGTCAATCAAAAAATGATTTCAGTTAAGTGCATATCAAGTACTCATTGAGTTGGTGCCCTTTCTATTGCCAACTGTGTCCCTTCTATTGCTCGCTGAGCTGACAAAATTTCACATGAACGAAAGACAAATCAGATCACTGGGGAAGCCGAGTCGACTCTCACCAGCTCTGCCGAAAGCATGAGTAGACCAGCAAGATAGTCTTCCAGATCCAGGATGAACCCTTCCTCCTTGGTCAGCACGACTGAAACGCGGCGTACGTCCAATATGACACCAGGTCACGGCAGTCCCGGAACGCTTTGGAGCACCCGGAGCGTTCTACACCAACAAGGTCCGAGCATATCACAGAAGGAGGGGCGAGGAAAGTAAAATAACGGCGTGATTGGCAAGAGGCGCCTCAGGTGCGCGACACAGACTTTCCAGGGGTGGCATACTAACGTCTTGCAAGCCCTCTCTCAAATATCCCACAGGCACCACATACGCAACAAAAACCAATCAAGGGCATAGCTTAACATCGACGCACATCCAAATTAATGGGCCATATCAGTCTCAGTAAAACAAGAGTACACTTAGCATCGGCCTCAAATCTTCACGCAGCCTACATGCCGATAACTGACGCAGTTGTGTGGCTGTCCTCCAGAGCGATGCCACCTTCAACCCTACCCATCGTGGCGATGGCCACGGTCTGCTTTGTGGCGTCCCCGCCAGAGGGGGCCCCGCCTGCCATACCTCCCATGGCGTCGGCCACCGCCTCATGCGTGGCCAGCTCCTCTGACTCCAGGTATACGAGCAGCGCCGACACAAACGCCATGCGCTGCGTCACGAACCGCCAGTGGTCGTGGAACCTGCCGCAGCGCGGGGTCATGTGGCTCACCGGCGGACCCATGCGGAGGATGAAGCCGAAGTCCATCCCAGCACCGGCACAGAGGACAGAACGGACGACACGTGACCCACCCCAGGATCGCTATGCACAGCCCAACGCAGATCCTGCGATACTCCGCCGGCATCAATACGGAGGAATGCAGTGGAGGTCACGTGACACTCACCAGTGGCGGTCACGTGACACCGGGACCAACCGGCGGTGGAGCGAAGATTCAGTGGTCTGTCTACCCCGCAATCGATACAAAGGGCAGATGGTGGTCAGATTAGGGCTGCCAAACATGTTTTCTAACTTTATATTTCCCAGAGCAAGTAGAAAATGTGACAAAGACAAAGAATCAGGAACACCAGTGTGTCTCAGGTGTAACCTTTTGCAATTTGTATTCAGTCACAATGAGATCGACTACGATGCTATTGTATAACAAGTGCAGGCTGGTGAATCTCCTCTAATGGGCACCATGTTAAGACCAAGGCTTCCGCACAAATTTTCGAAGCGTGAAAGGGTCGTCCACACTGGCCATTCCCCCTGACCTGGATTATGCGCTGGTCACACCGGACAACCCCCATGTCTTTGTTACGCTGTTAAAGCATCGTTTTTTAAAAAAAATATTTCAGCATCATTTACGAATACACCTGAGCGTAGCGTTACGCCGTCCAATCCCCGTCTCCTAATGATCCTTTAGTTACTCTCCATAAAAGCATATTCTGGCTACAAGCGTAATGCAATTCATGAACTATGGGAAAAATTATACGCAAAACAACATAAACCACTTCATACAGAACGGTGCACCGTCATTACCCAACCATTCATATCAAAGACGATCCCATCAGAGATCCGATTCTGTAAATCTTTACGTAAGAAGCATTGAGGACTAACAAGAAAATAGCACAAAGTTGAAAAGAATGAAAAATGATGGCATGTCTACATTGATCACACTACACCCACCTGTAGTACTGGTCTTTGGGAACCTTCGCTGCCAGTGATGAGTAGTGAGCTTTGATGGCAGGGTAGTAACTCCTCGTCTTCTCGCAGACACTGGCAACTGAAATCAGCAGCAGTTATTGGGCCACCAATTTTTGCATCAAATCCGGGCGGAAGTGTCGTTGGGACTGGGGAGGGGCCAAGATTAGGCTCCGTCATATTTCCAAAACTTCCAGTGGATTTTGACGGGCATGCCCCTAACAAAATGCGCACACAGACTAAGCACACAGGATATGCTTTTTTCCGATCTCCCGTCTGGTCGCGATGAGCATTCTTTTAAAGCGTGGAAGGCGAATGAGTTTTGATTCCATGTTTGAACGTCTATCGAGCAACTTATTGTGTTGCCTTGGTAGCCAATAGGTGCGGTTTGATCGAGTGACGTTTTACAGTAAACATGGATATTTTTTTAAGACGACTTAAAGAGAGTGAGTGACATATGCATGATGTTTTGTGCTGAAATAGCCAGATTGAAGATCATTTGGTGTTTTTCACAGCCCTCCCCTTTTTTAGACCGAACCCTTGTTAGTTTTGAGCTACCAGCCCGCGAAGGTATGTCTGTTTCAGGGGGACTATTTCAAGGTCAACCAGGCATCCATGACGCTATAATTGCGTCACTGAAATCCTGTCATTCCTTCGGCCACGCGACGACCAAAAGAAAAATAAAACTGTCCAGTCATTCATATATGCCGTTCTGAGCACGACTTCCAGATATATGGATGGTCAACTGGCGCTAAATCAATGTTGTGCGAGGTAGAGACATAATCAAACAATGAAGTACTGAGGAACATGTCTCCTAAACACAGAAGCCGTGTTGTCCACAGCAGCCTTTTCCACTTAAAAGTACACCAGTGGTTATAAGTGAGCTAATTCAATCAAACCTGACGCTTGGTGCAATATCATCAAATGTGGAAAATTCCCCTCAAGGGAGTGTTCCACATTTGTACAGGATTTGAACTGAAATGGCCATATTAATAAATGAAATAGCCATATAATAATATCACTCAGATCAGTTCACACCCCTGCCCTTTAAGACCTTCAATCTTCTAGATTTTTAGCTACATGCCTGTAAAAATGTGCAGCCTTTTTCATGCCGACCATTTCAACGTTACCCAGCACCTTCAACTCATGGATAAGTATGCAAGAACACCAGGAGAAAGGGCAAAAATACAGCACCTAACTTGACTTACTTCAGCACACCTCCAGCACCACTGCCGCCCACCTCTAGGGAGATTTACGAACTACTTCTAGATGTGACCGCTGTCGTGCAAACGTTTTGCAAGTCCATGATGTAAACAAACCATGACACATTGAGTAGTATATTTACTAAAGACAATTTTAAGTCCACACCAGTCTGTTGCACTTAAAAGTATACCAATAGCTGCAAGTGAGCTTATTTCATTATATTTGACACTTCCTTCAATGTTTTCAAATGTGGAACATTCCTTTTAAGCTGGCATGTGGTCATAATGTATAACTTACTTTGTGATGAGGAAACTTTCTGAGGTGCCAAGGTGAGTAGCCTAAGGTGCCACATCATCCCAATAGCTCAGTTGGTGGCATGGGATGCCTTCCAATTTATCCACCTGCAGTGCAGGCCTACACAGTGGAATGATCATTGGAACCAAGGATCAAACAATTGAACCTTCCTCCATTTAGCCAGCTCATGTTCATTGCTCAACAAAATCTAAAAGTGTCATGGAAAAACTAGGGTTGCAAATTAATTAGCCCTTCATAAAATAGGTCTAAGATGAAAACAAAGTAAATTCAAAACATCAGAGGGCATAACACATAAGATCATTTAATCAAAATTGGTACTGAAACAAAGACCAGCCTCAGATGCTGGCAGCTGTGCTGGATCAAGCAAAGGCTGGCATACTTTAATAAAAGCAGGCTGGGCATAGCCAGCAACTCATGATTTCAACTTGGGTTATATGAGTAATTTCCATCTGTGACCAGCACTACCATACACATTAGTTTAAGTCACTGATTTGTAGGCATTGCAAACATTTCATAACAACCCCACAACTGTGAGAAGGAAGAATCCCTCAGCAGCATTCTTACCATTCTGTATGCCATCTTGTTGATGGACAGATTGCAGAATGGTTGTCATTTCTCGAGCAGTCTGCTCTAATTCGCGCACCAAGGCCCGTATCTCCTACAGGCGGACAGGACGAACACCATAAAAAACACTGTTGGAATCAAACATCACATGAAGAGCTACTGATAGCAGTAATGATACATGCCAGTAAAGCAAGATATCTGTCGCAAACAATGGGAAAATATAAAACAAGCAAGCATATTTCAATACATACAAGAATCAGATCAATATTTGAGAAGGAAACATATATATGGTTGCTGAACTGATTGCCTAACCTAATGTTGTGTGGTGAATTTGCAGAGAATGCTGTATTCATATAGCTGAGCACGGCTGTCCACAGCATCAGATCATGAAACCACGTAGTGCATAATGTTTTACTGCCCTCAAGGCTTAGCTTTTCCAATATTTGAAATATCCCAGTGTGAGCAATAAACAACATACAGGTGTTTTAAGATGTAAAAAATATTACCTCTCTCAGGTTTTGTTCTTCTTCCATGTAATTGTTGTATAGAAGAAAAACATTTGCAAGATTCTTGGAGCCGTCCATCGCACCAATCAAAAAGCCACACAACTGGGTTAGATACTTTGAAATCAACGGACGCAGAAGCGCAAACACGGCTCCGGATCTCCCTGCGCGCACCCCCGCACGGCACCGGCTTTAAATGAAACTTTCAAGCTGGTCGCTTGCCTACTCGGCCAGGGGATGTATACCAGGTGGTACCATCCCGATTCCCCACTCCTTAGCGAAGATCCATTTGTGACGTCAACGAGGGCACCGGGCGGCCTTTAAACGCCGGGCGGCCACACGCATAGTATGGGACATGAGCGGCCGCGCGTATTACAATAAGTTTGGTGGGTGGAACAATTATGTAAAATCAAGGCAAGTATGAGTAAATAAGTAAACTTAACATTCATGTCCAATTCTGAATGCAATTTAGGAACCAAAGCGGTAAAGAAGACCCAGCAAGCAAGCTATTCGAGGACGATCCGCCACATTTTACGCCAAAAATGCGCTCGGCAGAAGAAAAAAATAAATGACTTCAGGAGCACCAAATATAATCGAAACTATGATTACGCCATCCGTTTTCCGTCACATTAACACGCGCTCGGGTGGGGATCAAATCAACCCCTCGAAGGCCTTTCCAGAATTATTTCTGGACGACGCGGCGTAGCCGCACCAAACGTTGCCTAAATGTAGAAAATCTAACGGCGGATCATATAGAACGTAAAAAATACGTGTACTTTTTAAGGTCGCTGACCCATCTCAGATCGAATTTAGACCGTGGCTCTCAGTGAAGGGCAATTCTGGAGAATCGCTGAATACGACGCAACAACGAAGTGTGGAACGAAACAATACATATCTGAGATAGTTTCTTAGACAGCAAACCAACTGAACGCAGAATCACTTCAAATCTCTTTGACCGAGGATCATGCATGAAGGTCAGAACGAGATCAAAATTAGCCTGCTTTTTTGCTCGGGAGCTTGGTTTTATGGGATAGTTTCTGATGCCCATTTCGAATTCATTAATGACAGGGACCGCAAAAGATATCATCCATGGACTTTGCAGGGTCACAGCAGATCACTGGCCTAAAATCACCCTGGTCAACATTTCATTGTAAGGGACATACCGCCCAACGTAATCCCTGACGTAAATTCGAATGGCAAAAACCAGAAATATTTTCAGTAGTAGGTTACCTTGACCTTATTAAGGTATGAAAAGGTCAGTGACCACGTTCATCTTTTGCTTAGAGCCAATATCTAGCTCCACGATGGTTGCATAAGGAGTTATGGAGGCACTTGTGACACCAATCGTGGGCTTGACCTTGTTTAACCTTATTTTACCCCGATGTCCGAGCCTAGGAAGCTCAAATTTTGGCACAAGTGAGTTTAAGTGGATGGAAATGTACTCTATGAATTTGGTGTCTCTAGCTATGTTGGTTTTCGAGATCAGGGGGTCGAGTTGCCCCCCCCCCTCCCCTCCCACACCCAAGCTACGGGTATTCAGCCAGCCACCCGTGCGCGTGTTAAAACTATGACTTTCAGAGGTCACCATTCTTCAAGGTCACTGACTCATGGCCACTATGATTTGCTCGAGTATAAGATTAGTAGTGTTTGACACCTGATACAATGGTACATCTCGTTTCGTGCCACAGAAAGCTATATGACTTCCGGCAGCCAGGATGTGAGAAACGAGGAGGGCAGTAGGGACAGTTCTCTCTCCCGAATTAAAAGCTGAGAGGGTGGGGGCGCCACCCCCATCCCCACCCCCACCCTCATCCTCAATCTGAAGGGCCTGGGAAGATTATGTAAGCATGTAAAGCTTCTCTCTGACCTGTCTAAGGCTCATTCTAGCCTAGCAAAAGTCCTTTCTGATAACAAGAGGGCAATTCTGAGCTTGTGGAGAGCCCATTCCGGCCCAAAGGGACCCATTCTGATGTGCAGGCACACATTTTGGACTGAGAAAAGATCAGTTTGGTCTGTAGAGGACCCATTCTGAGATAACGAGGGCCCATTCTGGCCAGTGGAGGGCCTGTTATGACCTGTAGGGGACCCATTATAACCTGTAGAGGGTCCTGCATTAACACGTACCCGGGCGGACGGTTGGATACCCTTCGCTCGGGTCGGGGTCAATTTGACCCCCTGAAATCTCGGCAACCAGGACTTCAAAATGAGCAACGGAAACTACCCCATACAGGAGGCCCTTGAGCAATAAAATGGGTTGTTTTTTACCTTGGTCTGTCCTTTAAACCTGACCCTAGGTCAATGGACTTCGTTCACTCAATTGCTGCGTTGCCCAAGAAACTATCTCAGAGATGTGCATCTTCGTCTAACACGCCATTGTTGCATCAGATTGAACGATTCCCTAGAAACTGACTTCGCCGAATCCATGTTCTGCCTTTAACCTGCCGTAGATCAGCGACCTTACAAGGTACATCTAATGTGTTGATACCAAACGATCCGCTATTCAATCACCTACAGCCATGCAAAATTTGTCGCGAATTTGCTGCGTCTTTCGGAAACCATTCCGGAAAAATATGCCTGGGGGGGGGGCAAATTGACCCCCACCCGAGCGCGTGCTAGCTATGGATGCCTCATTTCAACCTACAGAGGGCCCGTTTCTGGCCTGCAGAGCATCTCTTCTGGACAGCAGGAGGCGTACTACTGACTGAAGGGTCCATTTTGACAAATATAGGGCCAATCGGGCCTGTAGAGTGCCTATTCTGGCCTCGAGAGGAGCTATTTTTAGCTGTGGAGGGCCCATTCTGGCCCGTGGACAGCTGGTTCTTGCCTTTAGAGCGTCCATCTGCCCCAAAGACATCACAATAACGGCTATGCAGGGCTCATTCAGGCCCGCATATGATCCATTTTGGCCTGTAAAGAGCCCATTCTGCCTTAACGAGAGCCCATTCTGACCCGCGGAGGTCCCATTCTGAACTATAGTGCCTAGAGGGACCATTTGACTTGTAGAGGATTATTACTGACTGTGGAGAGCATGTTTTGTGCTACAGGAGGCCCATTCTGATACGTGTTGGGGCCATTTTAACCCGTGGATGCCCCATTATTGGCTGTGGAGGTCTCCTTCTGGCTTGTACAGGGACCATTATCAGCCGAAGTGTTCGTATTCTGGTTTGTGGATGTCCCATCCTGGCTGTGCGGACCCGCTACCTAATCTCAGGGTCTATTTTGGTATTTTGGAGTTTACCCTCCACCCCAGCTTGAACAAAGCTCCCGCGCCCCCGCCAAGAAGTCATCGTCATGCAAAACAATTGAATTAAAACCCATACCGTGCTGCTCAAACTCATACTACCAGAAGAGATTGACATGTTGAATACGGGAACATAAATTGTGCATACCCTTTCCTGACACATTACAAACCATGGGCCTCTAAGATATGAGCTAAGAATAAGACAATGAAGTACTTATCTAAGACCCACTTACTACAAAAACTACAAATGAACTAAGCGTTATGAATGCAGGGAAAATCGGAGGGGTCCAAGTTTAATGATCCGAGTCTTGATTATCTCTGGCGGTTGCATCTTTTCCAATGTGGCCGGGCGTATATGCACCATCATACCAAGTACGTCGAGCGCCACTTGTTTTTTTTTTAATTTGAGCAGCATGGTAGGGGTCTGGGCTCCATGATCCTGAACTTCGATTAACTTAGGAGTTCATAACTGAGGTTGGCGTGGGAAACTAGGTGCACCATGACAATTGGCATGTTAGTGTTAGGAATGTTAGGAATATATGTCGGTGCATGCTAGTTTTAGGAAAGTCGTAGGGTTCGGGTTTAATGAGCTTGAATTTGCATCGGTTCTACAGGTCCTTTTTGGTCTAGCGAGAAAGGAGATACACTATCGTTACCAGCACGTCAAACACCATTAATTTTATGGTTGACTAGAATCGCAAGGCGCTCGGGTTCAATAATTTCTGACTCCGATAATATCTAGAGATCATGGTTCCCAATGTGGCGAAAACGTAATGCACCATGACGATGAGTACGTCAAACAATACCCACGATATAAGTTGGAACAAAATCGCAGGGGTCCAAGTACGATCCCCTTAACTTCTGGTGACCTCAGGGCGTCCTAGTTACAAAGTCTTGGGAAACGATATGCACCATTGTAATCAGTATATCAAACGCTACTGGCGTTGTTCAGTTAAGCAAAATGGTACGAGTCCGTGGTGGATTGTAACTGGGAAGGTGATACGGCTATGATGATGTCTGCACGGATCCGGTGACGTTCGCGAACACATGCGTCGATCTCCGTTTAGTCACCAAGTGTTTGACGCGGGCCAAACGCGATCGGACGGCGCTGGGCGCTGTCCCGGGGTCACGACCTCACAACAAATCACGACAGTGGCCGCTGGATAGCCAGTGCCGGGACCCGTGCGCGACCCTTACCGGCCCAGTGCAGGGTCGTTCATTTTCTGGTGTCAGCACCAACGTCTTAATTTAGATTGATTCGTCCAAGTACGTGGTTGGAGCTTACTACTGTGCTTGTTTAATTCAACGTCCGAATAGTGATGTCAACGTGGACATAGAGCTGGCATAGCTTGAATAATGTCATGTGAGGTTGCCTTTAGCTATAGCGCCGAGCATCTTTACCTCATAAATCAGCGCCGGGGACTTTCCTCCGCGCACGGAGAGTGGGCGGCGCTTTTGCGTCCCACATATCCAGTGCGCGCCATAGGCCTGGCAATTACTTCAAACTTGAGACCCTATCCACAACAGTTCACACAGGACCTACAGTTATGCTATGAACAGACACGAGCCTTCAGAGACCGGCCAAAAAGCCCTCAACAGCCGGCCAGCACGAGTGCAGCGCACCACGGTCCACACTATCGACTTTATTCCGCCCGACCTTGGAACGTCCTTTGACCGTTTTCGAAGCCAGGTTTCCCGTCAACTGTGACCAATCTGGCAGTCACAAGCACCACCTGATGTCCAACGCAGAGTCAAGTGGAGCGCGTGCTGTCGACATGGCCGCCGGTGATTGAAGTTTGGCAGGCGCTGCGGCGCCGGCGTCACCACAGTGGCACGACACCTCGGCGGCGCCAGCCATGCGTCTGCTGCTCTGCTGCCTGCCGCTGGCGGCCGCGCTGGCGCTCGCTGCCGACCGCAGATGCGCTCCCTGCACCGAACAGCGGCGCCAGCAGTGTGCCAGCAGTCCCCCCAGCCGACTGCAGTGCTCATTCTGGGGACGGCACGCGG